TTATTTATTTTCAGCGTAACAGTATTCATTGTTTTTACACCACACCCAGTGCTCCATGCAATCCGTGCCCTCTCTAATACCCACCACCTGGTTCCCGCAACCTCCCAGCCCCCGCCCCTTCAAAACCCTCAGATTGTTTTTCAGAGTCCGTAGTTTCTCATGGTTCACCTCCCCTTCCAATTTCCCACTTTCTTCTTTTCCAAAGTCTCAGGTCTTAAAAGCAGATTCTTCATGCTGGAAGCTTAGCAAACTCTCAGAGCCTATAATGTCTGCCTCTGGAGCCACAAAACCCAAGTCTGATCCTATTTACTCCATGTGTATAATGCTCAAAGGCATAGAAGGCTTCCAGTGAGAGCTGAAAGAAAGAGATTAGTATCCAGATGTCACATACTGTGCGTATGCTTGTCTTTCATTTATATTACCTCCTTTAAAGCCTCCCACCAATCCTGGGAAGTGGGCACCTTTATCCCTATTTCAAAGATGAAGAAACTGAGGCCAGATGAGATCACTGACCTGCTCCAACTAATACAGCAAAATATTTCAGAGTTCCAAGGAATATTCAGTATCATCTGGTCCAATGATTCTCTAAAATCTCTTTAAAAAAAAGATTTTATTTATTTATTTGACAGAGAGAAAGAGAGATCACAAGTAGACAGAGAGGCAGGCAGAGAGAGAGAGAGGAGGAAGCAGGATTCCCACTGAGCAGAGAGCTCAATGTGGGGCTCAATCACAGGACCCTAGGATCATGACCTGAGCTGAAGACAGAGGCTTTAACCCACTGAGCCACCCAGATGCCCCCAAAAATAAAATCTTTAAAAAAGGAAAAAAATAAAGCCCAGTACAGCCACTTTCAGGAGTTTTATTTTCCTGGGTAACTTAGAATACTCCTTTCATGAGAACTAAAGACTAAAGTCCATAGTACAACCACACAAAACTGTTAGCTGCCAGGGTTACTGCTTGGGATTTGAACCTGGACTGTAATGAGGAGTCCCTTCCCTTCATGCATTGGTCTTCCCCTCAAGACTCTGCAGAACTGTCTGCCCTGAGACATGGGATCTTTGCCTCCTCACCGCTGCCCAGCAAAGAGGAGGACTGGCAGGGAGCGTGCCAGGGAACGCATTCAGAATTGAGATGGCATTTGCACACACCTCAACTGTTGACTTACAAGCCTTGGGGGATTGAGGCAGTGCCTCTTATTTTCTAAAATCGTTATTTTAAATCTGTGTGTCAAGTTCTCAGTTTCTGCTACACCCCCTTGCATTATTGCTAACTGACATAAACAGAGTGTTGGCTGCCAGTGGCTGTTTGGTTAGAAGAGGAGTGTCCTGAAGCCACGTTTGCATCACAATCATTTTGTTTCTTTAAGAAGTTTATATACTTATTTTTTAAGTAACCTGTACGACCAACATGGGGCTCCAACTAATAACCCCAAGGTCAAGAGCTGCATGCTCTTCTGACTGAGCCAGCCAGGCGCCCTGACAGGCATGCCTTTTATGTGAGTTTATAGAGGATACCTTTATTTGGGGTGGGATTCCAGGGGCTGCTAAAGCCTAAGTAAGACCTAAAGCCTACCCAAGCTATGCCTTGCTTCTGCTTCATTGATGACTGGCGATTAGCAAGCAAACTGTCCTTATTAGCTTGAGCTTGAACTCAATCAAAACTATGGGCTCTCCTTTTCTGGGCCAATTTCTCCATTTCTAAAATGGGCATCATCTTTGGGTTGTTAGGGTCATGCCTGGCAATATAAGAAGTCTACCATTATTGTTGTTGCAATACGGAGTCGGCAGGGGACACTGAAACATACAAACTCTAGAAGTTTTTTTGAAAGACACCTACCATTTTTAAATTTATAAATGCTTCCTATCTTTGGAAATAGTGAATAGAATCTATCTTTAGGGCAGGCTGTCTCTTTGATCGAGAAGGAATTACTTGAATGGAAATATTATACAAACATAAATACAAGTATGCATTCCTTTGTCCTGGGAGTGGCTTGTATGTAATTTTCTCCACATACTTGCAGAGAGCTAGAAAAGATTTCTAGGGAAAGTGATATCAAACAACTGACCCCTTCCTTCTAAGGATCAACATCATTAGCATACGTCTGAGAAACTGTGATGGTGCTAAGATCAGGTGTCAGGAAAAGATAACAGAAGCCAGCTGGAGGAGGCATCAGAAGAAAGAAGAGATCTGGACTGGACACAGACTTAGAACTTCACTGAGGTCCCAAAGTCCACCCTCAGTGTGAGACCCCATTGCCCTGGCTGGTGACAGGAGGCAGAGCCCGCTAAGGGCTGAGTCTGTAACCAATGTCAGTAAGTCTGGAGTCCCTGGATACAGTTAGGGAGACAAACCCCCAAGAAAAGACTAGACTTCCTGATAATCTGGCACATTGGGTTTACTGTCACTGCAGTTTAGATCTTATTTGATAATAAAAGCTGATGACCCTATTTCATGACCCAGGTTTCCTAATGGCTCCCCAAGTGGAAACAAGGAGAAAGAGAAGGGAGTATGCAAAGTTGCCACTATGTTGCTCAGTGGTAACAATCTTACAGAGTAGCTATGAGGACAGACAATGCAAATTGATGAGAACCATGGGCTCCTCTTCAGCAAAGAAGACCCTCCATAATTGAGAAAGACAGGATATTAACAATCACATGCCCAGGTGCCTTAACTGTGTATACAGGTGTGCATAAATGTGTTTATATGCACCCAGGCACACACACATGCGTGCACACACACACACACTTATAGGGGTTGAGCAGCTCTGACTTTTCAGAGTCAGAAAGAAGAGCCCAACATTTCATCCTCAGTAGAGGTAAGACTGTACTGCTTAATAAAAAGAGTTATCTCAGGGACCAAGAGCACTGATCACTGATGCACTCTTGAAATTTAAAAATGTGCAGGTAAAACAAACCATTCGTCCTAGATTTCCCAGAGTCACTGGCATTAGGAAGTCAGCAAGTCTCACTTTTTTTCCACTGGAGTGAAATGTGAAATGGGGGAGTGGGGAGGCAAGAGAGAACACATAAATGATAGATTCTTATCAGCCTTATTTAAAATCCAGTGACGACTCATTTCTTTGCAATCCAAAAACCACATAGAAAACAAGCAGCACTACTACATGGGTAACCTTGATTCTGATCTAATATATTTCTTGATAAATAAACTGTTTCCACATGTCAGTACTTTGCTTATGATAATTTATGTACAACAAATCCCACAACTGACGTGACCACCACAGTTAAGGAAAATGACATTAGAGGATATTTACCCTCTAACATTGCCATGGAAAACACTTATCTTCTTCAGAAGAAAGGATGGTGCCAGAAAAACACACAGCTGTATTAAGGAGACAAATAAACGAATAACAAATGCTAATGGATTTCTAGCTTCAATTGCTGAAGGGTTGGTATATTTACACCTGCCACATTTTTCTTACTGCACCAAGTCTTACAAGGCACCAACAGTAAGTCCCAACCTTAACAAACATAACTGAATCTTTTTTCTGGAACCCAGACATTGATACATAACGCAACCAGCAGATCAAATAAAGTTCATGGCCATCAGTACATTTTCTCTATTAAAGAGCACTGAAGGCCACGAGGAGAGATGCTGGTAATAGAATTGGCAAGCAAATGAGATGTTCTTTTCATGAGAATGCCTCTTTAGCTGTTCATTGAAGAGGACAATGAACCTGTTCTGGGCTGGAAGGAGCTGCTATAGAAGACCCCAGGTAAAGGGGTGAACTCCACCAGAGACACTCCAAAAGGAGAACACACAGCCCAAGAAAGCCTTTCGCCCTTCCCTCTCCCGTCCATAGTCATGTGCCAAGAGTCACAGGTTCATGGAAGTTACTTCTCTCTACCTGAGTGGGTTTTATTTTATGTAAAACCTCACAATGCAGTAACCAAACCTTTAGTAAGAAAAAGAAAAACATTTGCTTTGCAATTCTTGTCCCACCACTGCATCAGTCACATTACATAAAGAAATCCGAATACCTCTTCATCCCTGCTTTTCAGAGCTCATCTATAATTCAGTCTACACTAAGAAGCTTCGCACAATGAAATGGCTTTTACTGAGCAATTACACACATCACCTGGATGCCAGAGAGAGTACATTTTTCATGGATGCCAAGAGTTGTCTGAGTTGTTTATGGGAGGAGAAAAAGTGAGGTTTCTATGTTCTGCTAGCCATGGGAAGAGTATGAAAGCCTTCTATAATGGAAATAAAAGTGAAAGACATAAAACTAGGGTAACAAGGAGGAAAGACGGGAGGAAGGCAGGCTGACCAAAAAAAAAAAAAAAAAAAAAATCAACCTTAATTTCGGATACCAGCCCTGCAGTGTATTTCAAAAGTGAACTTCAAAGACCCATTCAAGGGGAGAAATTACTTTTATCCACCACATCCCATACTCAAATTAATTTTTCTTTGACATGGTGGAAAGGTAAATGCCAGAGTCATGAGGAAGTAGAGTCCAGTATAGGAAGAAAATGCAAGAGGTCCCTACATTAGACGGAAGACGAAAAGATGAACAAGAACAGAGTCAGCAGCCTCTGCAGATCATTTCAGGAAGCAGCAGCTCTGACGTGTCTTACGACTGGAAACCCTCCCCCAGCCATTTAATGTAAAAGCATGGCGCTGAATTCATTCCCACACATGCTTCTCTGTGCACTTATCTCCATCCGTCATCCTCCTTTGAAGCAAAAGACTCATTAATCCAATTCAAATTGCCAACATCAGTAAATCCTTTGCCTCAGCATTTAAATGACAATACCAATTAAATACCGACAGCAACTTAACTACTGATAGCATCTTCACTACATTCAGGAAATCCAGCCAGAAGTCCAGCTCATATTAATTCCAACACTCCTTCATCAATTCTAATTTACTCAGTGCAGAGAAATGAGGTAATTTGCTGGCCACGCTAACGACGCACCCAACTGGATTGAAATAACTCTGCGGCAAATAAGAAGGAACAAATTGACTGCAAGCCACCAAACCTGAAGGATGTCTTCACCAAGGCTTCTGGGCTATCGAGCTGAGGCAATTCATCAGCTAGGATCTCTTCTGGTGGTCGGGTGTCATGGACAATCATCGGCCGTGGTTTTTCCTTGGTATTCCCTGTGAGCCCGTCGATGAGGGAGTTCCACAAACAGTTCTGCGACTTAGACCCTGAGGTATGAGGGGAGAAAGGTGTGCCGTCAATTACCAACCAACAACATGTCCTGCCTTGCCCAACTCAGGATTTTCAAAAGCAAAGGAGGGAAACATATATTTCTCATGATCTCCACCATCATCTGAGGGTTCCAAAAGATACTGGTCAGGCAACCTCTGGTGCTACCAGGAAGTTTTAAATTTAAATGCAGAAAATAAGCTAACATCCTGAATATTTTGACCCATAGCTAAGTATTAAGGATATCAATCTTGTCTCATTTCAGGGGTGATCAACTCCAACTCCTGGTAGAGCTGTTGACATTTACATATATATTTATTGAACAACTGGAAGTATACAAAGATTACCATTTTAGAGAAGAATAAGGCTGTTCAGACACAAGTGTCCCTTACGAAATCAGCATGTGCAAGGACCAAGCTTCAAGACTCCATTCTGTAGAGACACCCACTTCAAACAGGGCCCCACCTCTAAAACCCAGAGCTCACTCTAGGCAGTTTAAGTCTTCTAAAAGATCAAGACCCAAGGAAATTACACTGTATGTTTACTGATGTTCTACCCAACAAACACTTCAAATATATGAGATGAACACTAAAGGCAAACATGAAGTGGTAATAGTGTCACAAAATAGGGCCTGATCAGCCAGGCAATCAAGGGCAACATTGACAGGGACAAGTTACACCGAAATCATGTACTCTTGATAGGATGTGATGAGACTGGCACATCACCTTTATGGTCTTCCTTCCCAAAACATATAGGCCCAGTGTATTAAGCATATTCCTAGCTTCTGTCAACCTGATGTTTTAACATCAGTCCTATGTGCATATCCCAGACATGCCTTGCTCTGGACAACTCAATAATGCATCTGAGTCACCTTGCTTTTCAAATACAAACCAACCAAACCAGAGTCCACCCCCACAATACCTCCTTTACTGAGCTTTTGCTCTCTGGGCGACCATTTACTTGCCCCACTCACCACAGAGCAACTAGGGACAGCTCCTATGCTCTACAGTCCACTGAAATTATTCAAATTAGCCAGTCCTAAGCCTGCTTACCCTGCCTTGCCCATTACTCCCTACAGAAGCCACAATAAAGTCACTTGCCCACAGTTTCCTCCACCCCAGCTCTGCCTTATAACTTATCTCAGTGCCCCTCTGCATGGCTTCCATGGTGAGACATGTACCCCCTTTTTGGGGATCTGCAAGCATCACAAAACTATCTTTTCAATGGCAGTCATCTCTGAATCTGTGGGTCCTACCATACCTAAATAATAATAAAAATCTATCCAAATACCCAGTCTAGTCATGGAGAAAACATCAGACAAACCCCAAATGAAGGACATTCTCTGTGAACACCTGACCAATACTCCTCAAAACTGTTGAGGTTATCAAAGAACAATGAAAGTTTGAGAAACTATCACAGTCCAGAGGAGTCTAAGAAGACATGATGACTAAATGGAATGTGGTGTCCTGATGGGACCGTGAAATGTAAAAGGACATTAGGTAAAAACTAAGGAAATCCGGGGTGCCTGGCTGGCTCAGTGGGTTAAGCCTCTGCCTTCAGCTCAGGTCACGATCCCAGGGTCCTGGGATCGAGTCCCACATCAGACTCTCTGCTCAGCAGAGAGCCTGCTTCCTCCTCTCTCTGCCTGCCTCTCTGCCTACTTGTGACCTCTGTCAAATAAATAAATAAGGAAAATCTTTAAAAAAAAAAAACCTAAGGAAATCTGAATGAAGTAGTTACTTTAGTTAATAATAATTCATCACTATTAGTTCATTAATTATGACAAAGTACCTATTAATACGAGATAAGTAATAGGGGAAATGGGAATGGGGCATCTGGGAACTCTCAATCCTACCTTTGCAAATTTTCTGCAAACCTAAAGCTGTTCTAAAATAAAAAGTTATTTGGGGTGCCTGGGTGGTTCACTCATTAAGAGTCTGCCTTCAGTTCAGGTCATGATCCCAAGGGCATGGGATTGAGCCCCACATTGGACTCCCTGCTCAGTGGGAAGTCTGCTTCTCCCTCTCCCTCTGCCTGTTGCTCTGCCTGTTTGTGCTCTCTCTATCTCTCTGATAAATAAATAAAATCTATAAAAAATAAAAATAAAAATAAATTTTATTCATTTACTATAAATTAAATACTAAAAATATATAAATATAAAAATATAATTATAAAAAATAAATATAAAAATAAAGTTATTATAAAAATACAAATAAATACTATAAAAATAGCTATTATAAAGAAGTCTATAAGCAAAAAAAAAAATTTGTAAGTGGAGCCTGAGAGTATTACTATTGCTATTATCCGATTATCATCTGCTTGTGCTTGTTATCCTCTTCCCAAAGAAAAGAAAGCTTTTATCCTTGCATAAAGATACCAATGGGTTGTCAAGACATGCACCCATGGAGCTGTGTCCATCCAGAAGGGGTTGGCTTTTTCTACCTCACTGGTGCCAAGGGAGAACCTTATTCTTTTTTTTTTTTTTTTAAAGATTTTTTTTTTTAATTTATTTGACAGACAGATCACGAGTAGGCAGAGAGGCAGGCAGAGAGAGAAAAGGAGGCAGGCTCCCTGCTGAGCAGAGAGCCCGATGCGGGACTCGATCCCAGAACCCTGAGATCATGACCTGAGCTGAAGGCAGAGGCTTTAACCACTGAGCCACCCAGGCGCCCCGGGAGAACCTTTTTCTAATTCACGTAAAGGCTCTTTACGGGGTTTGAGGGGTTGTGCACAGAGGGGTAACAACCACTCCCAGTTAATGCATATGCATGTGATAGGTGGTCAAAGAATAAATCCGTATGCACTTGGGGATGCCTCCCCAGGGCCCTAACCAGCTACCAGCAGCCTACAACAGAAGAAATCACCTAAAGGACAGCTTTGTCACTAAGGTCAAAAGAACTTTATACCCAAAGGGGAGTATCTCACAAAGATCTCTGAACCTTCACTAAGGACACATATGGGTCAGCAAACAACTCTGTCAAGGACCATGGCTATGACTGTTCCCCTTGGGATATCCCACATCCAAACCGCCTTTGTATTAATCAAAAGAAAATTAAACCACACTAGTGCCAAGCAACAGATGCCTCCAAGTCCTGAAAAGCAGTACAGCATTTCTAAAGTCCTAAACAGATATCCTAATAAGATCTGGTCCTATTAATGAAGGTCTGGTTCTATGTCAATAAAGGTCTGTTCTATGTTAACTAAGGTCTGGTTCTAGTAGGAAGAACAACAGAGGCAGCCTGTTTTCTTAAATTTAATCTAAATGAAGACCTTACAATAAACTCCCTGCCCATTTCCCTTCATTCTTTTTATTCATTCAATATAGACATATTTAATTCCCTCAATATGCCAGGTCCCATTCCGGCCCACAGAAATAGAAAGATGAACCCATAAGCAATCACAATGCGCCATAACTAAGGGCAAATGAAGTGCTCTAGGAGACAGGGGAGGGCTCACCCACACTGCTTCGGGGCTCAGGGGAAAGCTACACAAATAACGTCACATATGATAGGGATCTAAAGCAGAAACAGATCTTCAGTAGGTGAAAAAACAGAGAACAGAACATTCCCAGTGCAAATAGTATGTGCAAAGGCTCAGAGGATAACAAAGTAGCTTGTAAAGGCTGGAGCAAAGTGAGAGAGGACGGTGACCAGAGAAAAGGTCAAAGGCTGGTTGGACAAGTTGTAAAGTACCTTGAATAAAATGCTAGTCATTTATAAAGTCTTTAGACAAAAAAGAACTAAGGCTCTATCTGTGTTTGAGAAAGGAGGCTGGCATGCTACAAAGCAGTGAATTTGTGAGGAATAGCATGGTAATATGAAAGGGTCCATGAATTCGTCTTATCTGTAGATGAAGTAAAGTCTTACACATATTTATGACTAATTTTTAAGTATATATAGATGATTAATAAATTACAAATTCATGTATAAGCACTAACAAATTCATAATAGCTTTTTCACCATTTTCTCAGTGAATGAATCAGAAGGGTCATGGAACCTAAGCTCTCTCTCCATTAGGTGTCTCAAATGGAGAATGTTCTTGGTCTCTGGTTTAATTCCAGTGTGGTCTAAGAATAGACACTGCATGATTTCTATTCTTTTTAAATTTTGTTAAGATGTGTTTTATGACCCAGAATGTGGTGTATCCCACTGTTGTTGGAGGAAACAAACTGCAGGTATCGATTATATTCAGTTGATTGATGGTGCAGGCTTCTTTCTCTTTTTAAATTAATTTTATTTCATTCATTAAAACAGCATCTATATACATAAAGAGTGCTATATATATATATATATACAAGAGTTAGTATATATTCAGTATACAGGTCACTCTTGGTGCACATAAGGAATCCCATATCCCTTGCTATATATAACTTTATGGTATATTCCCTCTCACTATCCAATCCCAGAGAAAGGGAAGTCCTTCTAAAGATTTATGATAATAACATCAGAAAAAATATTTCCACATTTTTTTCCTAATTAGCACCTGAAGAACTATCCATTTATAACTATTCCTATTAAAATTGATTTGTGATGAAAACTTCAGAGTGTAAAAAGACCTGATTTTTATTTATAGCAACTTTTTGATAAATAAATCTTTGTGTTTGTTTCTGAGGGGAGGTTTCAGATTTGTTATTAGATTTTCAAAGGGGTCCATAACTCAATACAAAAAGATAAATGCCCCTGATTTAGAGACAGATTTTCAGTTCCACCAAAATTGATGGTGTGGTGAGTCCAACTACATTCTTGGTGATTTTCTGTCTGCTGAATCTGTCCATTTCTGAGAGAAGGGTGTTGAAGTCTTCATCTATGATAGTGAATTCACCTCCTATTTCTTTATGCAATTCTATGAGTTTTTGCCTCACATAGTTTGACACTCTGTTGTTAGGCATATACACATTAAGGACTGTTAGGTCTTCTTGGAGAATTAAGCCCTCTATCATTAGCAATTCCCTTTTATCCCTGATAGTTTTGCTTGTTTGAATCTTCTCTGTTTGAAATTA